GGTTTACCCTACTTATGGTGGTTCCTAGGTATTGGATCCCAGTACTCCTAATATTGTCATATAGTTCCAACTCCAACTCTGGCCAATTGTCAATATTAACACTATACTTGTTTCTCCTCTCCTTATTCCTCCCAGTTATAATTTACTCCTGACTATCTCTCCAATTATGAAGTATAGTAATTGGTATCAAATATCATTCTGATACCTTTCTCATCAATGGTGCTCATATGATACCAGGTTCTCTTTCCTCTTCATCTTATGGTATTCTATAATAATATCACTATTACTGTGCCTCAATTTTGAACTTACAAGTGTACATGCACTGCATGCTCTTCTGACTGTGTGTTGCAAAGTTTACTCCTGTCTATTCAGCAGTGGAAATTGCATTTGATCCTACTAGCCTTCAAGGCTTTATCAATTGGAGTTCCGTGGGTCAAATTCCTTGAACTAGTTCAATCAATTATAATAGTACTAGTTCTCTGTTCTGCTCTGGGTTTGCCTCTGATAGCCTTGCATGTTCAGCTGTCACTACTGGTTCTGGTTTCAAAGGTAACTGGATATTTATCTTACTCAATACCTGTATAGTCTCTGTAGGACTACTTGCTTCTCTGAATAAAAATTGTATTAATTCACCTCTAAATTCTCTCTAGACATATACAAGCAGAACTAAATGGCTTATCAATCGAACCTTTGCTTTGAAGCAATTCTAGTTGACTTATGAACCGTATTGTGATTCTGTTTTTTTTTTTCTATATGCGTATTCTCTTCAGAATGAATCTTTGATGAGTTGATATTGTAGTGAAGGCCAGTAATCAAGGATTGAGACTTGGACTGACTGTGAAACCTCGCTTGATTTTTCTTCTTTGTTTTTAGACTCATTTCCAGTTTGACCAGTTAATACGGTACCGCACTGCTAACCTTCTGCTACCCTACCGTGCTCTTTAACCCTTCACCTTTTTTACACACAAAATGCCCTTTTCCTCACATGCCTAGTTCCACTCCAGTACTAACAGTGTTAAGACCGTGTAAACACAAGCGCAAAGTGCTAATAGCCCAGAACAATTATGATACCGCCTCCTAGACTCTCGAGAGGGTGAAATGATTTTGCCTGGCCCCTGTTAGTGTCCAAGATTCAAATCAATCAGCCACTTTTATTTAGTACTACAACTTCGGAGATGTACTCAAGTCTAGTACCAACACTGTACTAGTACAGTCGTGTCCAGAAAGTTTTTGTACCCTCATATGCAACCGCACAACCACAACCCCCATCCATAAAAATTTCAAAAAAAATGTAAAGAATTCAATTAAAGAAAACATGATAGTATTGCTAGTAGACAATAAAAAAACATTATTACCATTTTGTATGGCCTCCATTTGCATCCCATACAGCTTGCATTCTCTCAGGCATCCTATCTATCCATCCATCCAACTTCTCTTGGGGAATTAAATCTCACTCTTCCTTTACTGCCTCAAACAATTCAGCTGCACTATGAGCCCTTCTCTCCAGCCTGGAGAATCGCTTGGTAAGGGCTCTTTTGAGTAGTGCCCATGTGTTCTCAATAGGATTGAGATCTGGTGAGTTGAGTAGCCAAGGGAGCTTTTTGTAACTACAGTCTGCTTCCAATTTTCGATTTTCCTCACTACCATGCCAGGAAGCATTGTCTGCAGCAAGGTAGATATTGTCAGAAGGTCTATTCAGACACTCTATAAAAGGGATAAGGTAAGGCTGGCGGATCTCAGTTGCATATTGGTGAGAGTTTAGGTCAAGTCTGTCTCTTTTACTGGTCCTTTCCTTCTCTCTTCTCTTTCTCACAAGAATTAACTCGTCTTTCCTCCCTTCATCATTGCAGCATATACTCCAATGCTAGTCCTTCCAGACTTAAAGCTAGACTTTAAGTTTTTTTCTTCCAGCTCTTCACCAGGTCTAATTCTGACCTTTCTGCCTGTTATATTTGAATCATAAACAATGGTAGCTTCATCCACAAAAACAACCCAATTCCATGCCCCTTTCCAGTTCCTCCTTCTCCTAGCAAACTCCCTTCTTTTCTCCTTTTGTCCTTTTCTCCAAAAAAGCTTTTTCCTAAGTATCAGAAGCTTAAAACCAGCTTCTGATATGATCTTATCAATAGTGGTTTTACCAAAATCAATATTCGCTTTTTTGGTAATGTCGCATAACACTAAATGAGGCTCAGCATCGATAACTGACTCCACTATCTTTCTTTTTATGTTGGTAATCTTGGTTGGTCTTCCACCTCTTTTTGCATGGTGAGTGTTTCCACCCCTAGATTTAGCTCTTTTGACCACAGAGACTGAACAGTTGACTTGGATACACCTAAAGACTTAGAAATTTTGTCATATCCCATATCTGTATGTTTATACAGAGTATAAATTTCCTTATTCAGGTCTTCTCTTGCTCTTAGATTATGTGGAGGGGCCATGGTGAGGAGGGTTGTTGTGGTGATAAGGTGTTGCGGGGTTGCACATCAGGGGTACGAAAACTTTCCGGACACGACTGTACAGTACAAACTCCAGACCATCCTAATGTTGTCTAAAATAAAACCGTGCCCAATCTTATCACAGCTACTCGAGTGCGATACAGCGGCGAGCATTGAAGCGCCATCCCAGTCATTCCTGACTTCGACTTGAACAGGGCTGTACGTACAATCCATTCTAATGTCCCTACCCGAAGGGACAGCCCTGCATGCATGCCCTTTCTCCACCTAGTTTTCTACTCTAAGTACAGTACCGGTACTCGAGTTCTAGTAAGTAACCTAAGATCTTTCGCAGAAGCTCACACCGATGTTCCCTCCAGCACAGATATCCAGAGATAAAATGTACCGGACGCGTCCGATCGAGCTGAATCTCGCTAGGACCGACATAGAGAGTAAAATAAAAATAAAAAAACCAAATAAACCCTCATGGAAGGTCTACGTTACTACTTCAGCCTCCGCACAACCGGCTAAGATCCCCTCACTTATGATCTTTTATTCCTGTGGAGGAAGTGGAGCCGCAGTACGAAGTGAAATAAATACGGTACGCCAATGGGTGTTTAATTGAGTAGAGAACGATCTTGTATTCTGGATCTCAACAAGCGCAATCTGAGCCCCCCCCCCCTACAAGTACTACAACAAGTTACTCTACCGACAGGCAAACAGGGTGGGCTGATTAGGTATTGGAACTAGCGAATCATCGGCTAAGGATAGTACCGGTATGCATAATTCAGCCCTAAAATGTGGGCTTGTCTGCTTTTGGTGATAGGAATTGTGTGGTGTCAGCTGCTTTTGATTCTGTCCTGACTTTAGCACGGTTAGGGGCTTATTATGTTGAGCAGTACCGAGTACAAGTACCGGTTCGAGTACTCGTACTGGTACAGTCTTATTCCGCGCCGGTCCAGACTGAAGGGGAGTAAGGTCCGGCGGAAGATGATGGATGAGATGAAGTTTCGGGTAGTCTCAGCCTTGGGGATCCAGTTTGTTTGTTGTTGCGTGTCATAGGAGAGGGTGTCGGGGGAGGGGAAGAGGGGCTTGTGAAGGTGAGCAGATGCACAACACCATACCGGTACGGTAAGCTACAAGTATTGAGGACCAGGGAGGCGCTGGTTTTCCGAATGAGTGCTCCTACATAAGCCACTCAACAGATACAATCACACCTGCGGTGCTTGTAGTAGCCCTAATTTATGACTCGAGTACCGTGCTGTATTGCACAAGTGACAAGTACCAGCACAAAAGAATCTACAATTCGGTCGACAGTCGGATAAGTGAGCCATATTGTACGGTGCAGTGCCGTGCGGTAGGCTGTACAGTAGGCATCCTCATGACTCTGGAGGGAGGTGTGTTCGAAAGTAGAGTATTGCCCTCTATTGCCGTACCGTACAAGTGCAGTACCTGCCCCAGTCATCCCGGATCGTGAGAAGAATGGAGGCTCATCAGAGAGTTTGTGCACGCTTCGCGAACTTTCGATGGACTGAGAGGTATGGTAACTGCATTTCCCACAGAGCAAGCGTAAATAATCGTAAGCCACCGGGATTGTGTATTCATCGTGATCACAGCAGACGGCCTCTTTTCGCTCCAGTGGTAAGACGACGGAGCGAAATACAAGTACCGGTACTCGAGTATTCACCGGTGATGGTATGGGTGCCATTTATCTTTAGCCAACACCACGCTACGGTACCAGAATGACATTCCCCCCCCCCAAAACAAAAGTCCCTATTATTTATGCGGGAGGCTGCAGTGTAGTAGGCACGTAAGATAAGGTATCATATGGTGCCGGGGGTCATGGAGGGGAGGCGTGTAACCCCTCCCCCCACCTCGATCGTTTTGATTGGCAGGAGGCAGCCAACTGAACTTTTTTTTTTTTTGAAGTTTCCACCCCGAGCCACCATAGTTTCAATGTTTGCCCGCAAGCCACGCTGTGGCAAAGAGGGATTACTGGTATGATACACACGTTCCCCATCGCTTCTGGCACCATACACGAGTGCCGTAGTGTGCAGCATTGTATCATATCATCTGCTGTCGCCCTCCGTGCCAAGGAGATTCGGCGACAACTCCACTGGCATCAAATCTGCCCTTCTCCTTCTTGGTATCGTATGATACGGCACAGTACTTGAACTCCTACTCCACCATCAGCTTCCCAAGACCTGCACTTCAACCCCGCGCCATCGAAAAACAAGCCAGACCAAGCACCGATACGGTATCTTAGTAGAGGTCGATTCATCACGCTGATAGGTTCGCACTATGAAAGCAGGCCATGGGGATTAAAATGCTCCAGGGCTGAGTACCCACCAAGCCCGCTTTTTCACCAGCTCCAGGGAGGAACATGGTGTCACACTGCCCGCTTCCTGGGAATCTGACAACCTGCATCCCCACCACTCCAGTTTAGCTCCCTATCAATTAAAAGCACCTTCCCACCACCTTAAATTTGTGTCTATTTTTTTTCTTCGGGGGGGGCGGAACCTAAACTTAATAATACCGTGCAACCCACGGTCGGAAAGCGATTTCCCAACTGAACAAACCCCATCCTAAAAACACTACTGACCCGACATTTCGAGGCGCGACTCGCCATTCTAACTAATCTCTCGCCCTCGAGAAAAGGGAAGAAACAAATCATGGCTTACCACTCCCGAGCAGAGGCCTACGAACCATATGAAGAGAGGCTTTCCTCCTTCAGCAGCCCATACACTCCTAGCGCTGAATTTTTCTCGAACCCAGCATCCCCAGTACAACCAACACGGAAGGGCGCATACACCTCTGTTCCTGTCCGCAACATCAGTGAGGCATCAACGATACACCCGCCGGGGCGGATGGGGACTGCCATGGAGAATATTCTCGGGAGGTCAAAGTCGAGGGAGCAGCAGGTACTATGGGGGACAAAGATACATTGGTTTATGCCAACTGCTATGGTGTGCTTGCTGATTGCCGGCATTTTGGGCTCTTTGGGGCATCACTTTTTCTATGCTAGCCTGCAGGGTAAGCAGGCGGAGGATCAATTGATGAAGGTTCGGTATGGGACAGTATTGGCATACTTTACCAAAGTATCCCTGGTGGGATCGGTGGTTCTCGCTTACAGGTTCTTCCCCATTGGCCTTGGCTTTAGCACAGGTTACCCGTATTGACACTTCATGGTGACCTTGCAGGCAGAGGATATGGCATACGATGCGGCAAAAGGCCATAACACTGAAGGGGATTGATCACCTATTCGCTGTCGTGGAGGACCCAACATGTTTTGCCTCAAAGGAGATATACTTCAAGGCCAAGTTAGCAACCGCAATGGCAATGGCAACATGGTATGATGCATGAAAACGGCGCAAAACGTTACAGCTAGTACTAACAGTGCCTTACGCAATAGGTTAATCCCCATTGCGTCGATTCTTTCCCCCGCTGCTCTTACGGCGCAGCTCACAGAAGTCGTGTCGCCCAATACAACCTGTAAGGTTCCAGTCCTCAACTTTACCGCGGAGAATACCGCGAACTGGAGGGAGCCCAAGAAGGGCCGGTTCGGGCATAGTTTGTGTTTCTTCAACACCACCCCACCCCCGCCCAGAGATGGACCCGTCTGGTTCGATCAGCCGAGTTTTGTAGCGAGAAAGTTACAGGTTCTAGCAACCTTTAGCGGGAAGCCAGTTCAGATCGCTACCCCCTGTTCCAATCACAACTGCACCTGGAAAGCAAGCTTCCAGGCGCCATGGTACAATTGCACGTCAAAAAAGCAAGTCGAAGTGGCATTGGAAATGCCGAAGTATATAAACTACACTTACGACGACCTTGCACCTGTAGGGAACAAGATCTACTTTGCTAGCTCCGATGCCGAAGAGTACGCTCGACCACAACCAGGCTACAGCGATGCCGTCCTAGATAAACAAGGCATCTTTGAGAATGAGCCGGCAATCTGGTTTGGCTACGTCTATCAAACGAAGAGGCTTTCAAATGACTCCGGTGTTGTGCTCCCACCCAATTCTAAGCCCCCAGCAGCGTGGAAGCACGAAATACAGCGGCATGTGATGCGCTGCGAACTCCAAAAGGCAAGCTACACTGTCAACTTCTCCTTTGTGAACAACGTGCAGTCCGCCAATGTTTCCATCTCAGATGGGACAACAGTCTTCACGCCGCCAGCGGGATCAAGCACCTTCAAACCACAAGACCCAGGATATAAAGAATTCATAGCATATCACTCCCTCGGCCTCCTGGTCCGTGGGGTGGTGCACGGATACGTCAACAAGACGAATTCATCGGACCCACCTGTGACCTCCACCTCCCTCTCACAGTCCCGGCTCCTAAGCCAAGAAACCTCCTTCACAGTGAAAAATTTCAAGGATGAATTCCAAAATTTTTTTCAAGAGATTGTCTTAACCCTCCTTTCGGAACCCTTCCTAGAAATAGGCGCGTATGAAGAGGTACCGTGCAGAATGACCCGCTTCGAGAACATCTTTTTCTACGAGATGCAAGGCCTCTGGGTCGGGTACGCCATTTCCGCCGCCATAGCATTATTGTCCATCACTGCTGGTGGCGTATCAATCTATTGGAACGGGATCACTAGTGACACGCTGTTCTCCAAAATTCTCGTCACTACGCGGAACCGCACACTGGACAAACTAGTGAAGCAGTATGAAGGCGTGTGCCTGGGCGGAGACCCATTCCCGCGGGAACTCGAGCAGACGCAGCTACGCTTCGGCGTGATCGACGAGCGGGAAACCGACGATGATCGCACCAAGCACGCCGCCTTCGGGACAGTCGAGGAGACGATACCCATTCTGCGCGGAGACTCGTACAAGAACCTCGCCGCACAGGGGAGCCATTACCAGAGCAGCCGCTCGTGGACCAGTGGGAGTCCTAGGGCTGAGAGGTATAGCGAGAGTTTTCAGATGGACACGCGGTATGCTGGGCCCGGATAGATAGTGACTCCCCCTTTACGTCACTATTTTCTTATTACTTTCTTCCTTTCCTCTTTCTCTCGTCTATTATGCGTTTGTTTGATGCATTAGAGCGAGGACATTTTCATTTTGGGGTGTTTGGGACAAATAAAAATAGGGAGTTTTATCTTTTTTTTCCATCAACTTTGTTACCACATTTTAGGCTGCGCTACCAAGATCGCGAAATACCCTCTCCTCTATTCATTGAGTTTGGGTTACGATGCTTGGGGGATTGAATGAAGCAAGAATGAAGGGCTATGATCGCCTTGTATACCTACTACACATTACCTCTCTTGTCCCAATCTGATATCTAGCATCCTCTCCAGCAGAGTGAGGACTCCCACGAATAGAAATGACACCTAACGCGGCCTCTACTCCTACACACCTGCTCCAGTAGAAAGGCTCAATGCTTTTGCCGTTGACGTCGACGTGTGGCTAAGTGTTTAGTTCATTTATTATATCCAGCAATACCAAGCACCACCAAGGGGGTAATCCCCCCCCCCACCCTTACCCCCTATGAAACACTTTTAAGCGGAACATCCCTCCATCTAGAAGCACACACTTCTCCATGCTCGTGCATCCAGGGCCACCCAAAACTATATCACGTCCGAGCGCGGCATACCATCCCCCCCTCCCCGCAATCCCAGAACACTCAAATACACGACCTAGCCAGTACACTGTCTCCACCAATGGGCTTGTACTCGTACAAGAGGCGATCATCACTAGGATTAGACCAATCAGCAGTGAGCGTGTATTTGGGCGAGGTGTGTATTTAGGTATTCCACGATTGCACCGCCCAAGATATTCTTGTGGCCATAAAAATCGGAAAATTGATTGTCCAGATTCATTGTTACAATGACAAGATTTCTGCAAAAAAAAAAAACTGGACAGTATACTGCTGAACCAAACACGGGTGCTGTCATACTTTTCCCTCAATTGACCTTACAGCATCTGCCTAGTCCCCCTCTATGATATAATTTTGCACATTATAATTATGTTACAAAAAAAATAGAAAATTCTACCATAATATATTGAAAAAATAAACATGTCAACAGAATAAGAAAAATATCTTCTATCAGATACTCCTTTTTCAACCTGATAGTAGATGTAGAAACCACTGGTATAAGGCGATTGAATGCCTAAGGGAACACAATTTAATCTAAATATTATCTATCTTTTTTTACCCATATCCTGTAACATGCTCCCCATTCCATCAGGTATAACGAAGGTGCTAATACTTCTTACATTTAAAAGTATCAGAACACCTATATTTGGTACAGCAGTGTAGTGAGTTTGGGAGACAACATATACGAGTAGTGTGTAGTGGACACTAACCACAATACCCAAAAATGACATCATGACCATGAATGGGAAGCCGAAGGGTGCCTCGGATGGCCGGGTGATGGGGGTTTACTATACCTGTAAAAAAAAATCTCTTCAAACCACATAGGTTCACAAGCTATCACTAGCAATGTCCCAAGGGAATTCGGCCCAGGATTCTTACTATCTATATTACTGCCTTCCATTCCGGACAACTCTGATCCAAAACCGGTACCCCCTCCATTTCCTCCCTTTGTTTCCGGTTTTTAGGGGTACAGGTACCTAAGCATGATACAACCTTCAAGAACACTCCAGCGCCCTCGCGGCCCATCACTCGCTGTCCTCTCCCATTAACAATGGAAAAGAAATATATATAAAAAGAAGACGACAACAGCTAAAACCCAATCCAGGCCACCCTGTTACTGACTGTTTAGACCACCATACAGGTATTTGCACCCCAGGAGCCCGTGCCCCTGGACACTGCGGACAGCATTCCAGATGATAATTCCCTACGCTATCGTACCATGGTCACATCCCATTGACCACATGGCAGCAAAACTAAAAGAGCAGTATCCACAGAGTACTCATGCCAGCCAGCCAGCTCAACCTGACTTTACAGCTCAACCTATTGTCTCTTTGGATACAACTGTTCCGTTCAGTTTTGAGATTGTTTCTGCTGTAAAAATTCTCGTCAAAGAGAAGGAAAAGGCCACTTTGTATGGGGCAACGGAACCGCATGGTTGTGTCCAAATAGACGCTAAAACGCAAAGCTATGTTGAACCGTGAACTGATATTGGGCCAGAAAGCCATATCGAGCCATAAAGTGACCTTGAGCTGCAAAGTGATGTTGAACCGTATAGCAAAGTGATGTTGAGCCACAAAGTTACTTTGAGCTGTAAAGTCACGTTGAGCTGGCTGGCTGGCACTCTTTACGTCCGGGGGTTGCAGCTCCTAGCCACAACCTTGGCACGAATATATGCCTTACTAAATTTAACACCGTGACGAAAACAAAAATTCGTTAAGAGGTCTACCAGTATAAGTCGAGCTAGAACCCAGAAAGTGCAATATTATAACATCTCACCTGCGACAGGGACCCTGCACCAAAAAAAAAATGATGATTTTATCGTGCGCCAAATAAGACCTTAGATTCAAACTAGAACTAGAACTCGAATTCGAAAAGTGCCGGGGGCTTTTCCCAGCGTGCGAATGCGAGGTGGTGTTTGTGTGACGACCGAGAGTTTGGTGGTGGCCTACAGTTACCGGAAATGGCCTTGCGGGGGAGCACATGGCGGAGGGGTGGAGGGAATTTTCGGAACATTCTATGATCCTCAAGAATGTGAGGTTCTGGCATTGGCGCTCAATTTCTTGTAGAACTGTGGCGGGGGTTTGATCAGCGTCGTGGACCAAGTGGGCTGGGGATGGCACCGTACCAGTATCAGTAATCTATCTCGCGTTTCCCCCCCCGAGTTCTTCCTTAATCAGCGTAGGACCTCCCGATCCTCTATCGTGGCTTGGGTGTCTGGTCTGTCCCGGTAAGCAAGAAGCTGTGCTAGAGCCTTTTGCTCAAGATGCCCGAAGGGAGCTGCAAAGAGGCATCCATCCTGAAACAGGCCTTAACCTTCAGGCAAATACATCACTCGTAAGCAATTATCATAGAAAGGCCAGATGCTACTTGACCCTCTACCGAGCCCTTCGAAGCCCAATTGCGCAACAGCTCCCGGACACACGGTGGGGCCATCCAAATTCTCCACTAACTTTAGCCCGAGGCCTGCTCGGAAAGAAAACCAAACCCAGGACTCGAGGGCAGAAACCCGTGATTTTGATTGATCTGGCTGTTTTGGTATGATATTAGGAGTGGTGCTCGGCGATGTACTAAAACCATAGAATATTAGGAAACTCAAAGGTTGGAGAAATGACTCGAAACTCCAGTTTTGAAAAAGTAACTCTGGAGGTCTGATATGATAATTTTTGAACAAAACACCTGGGGCGCGTCCCCAGTACAAGCGCAAAAAATGGTAGTTTCTGCCCCATTGCGGCCAAGACAAGACAAGACAATAAAACTGTAGAAGTTACACATATTCAAATTTCTCCCAAAAAATCCATTATCTGCCCTCTTTCCCAATCTTACCTCTTGCAGAAGACCATCAATTGATGTCTTCTCCATTTCTGGTGACCAAGTTGCTTGCTCTCCCGTTGTGTTTTGTTTTGATGTGATTTCTGAAGCTTTAAGGTGGTTTTTTCTCAAGCTTTATCTGCTAAGGAGTGATCTAGTGAGTGGGTTCTAGCTAACCATTCTGACTACTAGAGCATAAAGCATTTTCGCCCTACGGTATGTTCTGAATGCCGAATATATATCATAAGTTTTACCCAAACCATAAGTCTCCTCCCCACTTGGAATAACACTCACAAAAACATTGTTTTACAAATCCATGGTTCAATCTTCTCACCGTAGCTGAACAGCCCCTAAACGACGAGACCACGTCAATAATTGGAAGCTAAAAGGTCTTGTGGGGGGACTAACAACCTGGAGTAAGCTAGCTACCAATTCATATCATTCAGATATAATAATGAGAGAGTAACTTGAGGTCCTTATTATTTCTACATTGCTGAGTGTGTCCTATATATACACAAGCTGTTCCTTTGCAAACATATTCCTCCTTCATCATTCCCGCCCATTTCCTTATCCTGTCTCCACTCATAATCCCATCCCACTTCTTTGCACAACTCCTTCATACTTCATCTAAAACAGTTCTCCCGGACTATAGCAGTCCCAAATATTCCTGCTACCTTTCCCATTCTTCTCCGGTTTCCCAACCCTCGCAGGATGACACCTAGTTGTCTCATGACCTCAGAAGTATAACCTTAAACCTCTGGTATCCTAGTGCTGATTTCTGAGACCCCCCAATCGCCTTTGCCCCCGCTAACCTCTAGTCCATACACACCCTCACCCATGGGCTCACCCGTATATACTTGAGTATCATACTACCTCCAAAAAAGCCAATTTGCAGACACCACCCTTACTCAACTAATCCACAATCTTGCTGACGTTTGTATGGAAGTGCCGTGTTTTTCAACACCAATCACCAGGCCATGACATGCCAAGAGCAATGTGATAACAGAGACACCCACAATCATTTTGTCGGTCTCAGCATGTATGTGTCAAGGCTAGTAACACCCAAAGCTGAATTTGGCCCTAGAGAAGAGAAAATCGAGTGAATTTGACCTCTACCGCCTCAAAATCACCCCCCCACACCAACATTTCTATCTTCCAGGTGGTTGGTTTTCTCTTGGAGACCTAAGAACTGGGTGAATGAGTGACCTCGATCGTTGTATTTGACTCTAAACTTAGCTTAACCGTGTGTGAGATTTATCAATATGTTTATATATCTGCAAATGCGCTATGGAAAGGTCAAAGGTGTATTAGAGGAGCGTGCGACCTGGAGGTGTTAATCCCAGAGGGGTGGAAGACACGCTTCAAGTATTGTACACGCATGAAGGCTTATAGATTTTTATATAATTTAAAATTTTTGTTGCTGATAATAAGAGTCGGTTTTCTAAGCAAGAAATTGAAGTCCATTGTCGTGCTTTGAATTGGGTTGCAAATAGTGATAATATCTCTCCATACTTCGTGGGACTGTCCACTCTATAATTCCTTGCCTAACCTACAGTAATAATATTATGGGTTTTAGTGCCATCCACCTCAGAATACCATAAGTTACATCCAGATCTAAAACCCTCCCTCTTGGCGTACAGGGTGTCCGGCCCCATCCACTGCAAGGTCTCTACTCGAGTAACATCAAATAGAAGTTGTAATATCAGAATCGGAAATTGCCCAATTTTGTGCAAGATCATCGCAGCAGTGACCCTCAGCCAGCCGCCGGCTCAATTGGGCGTAACTTCAAAGTAACTGGTTTGGGCTTTTGACTTCTATAACATAACTTAGTATTTCTTCCAGGACAACATGATCGTCCTGCCAAATCATCCCCACATTGTCACCCTCTAGTTCTCCATTCTAAATAACCCCCAAGGAACACGTGTCACCGAACAAAACAAAAAAAAAAAAAAAAAAAAGGGCACCCAATTGCGCTTCGAGAGATAGCCCTTAGTCTATATCCAAATTTCGCGGCTTTCGAGTGGTTAATTGCCTTAGTTTATCCTTAAGATCATTCCCAAATGTACGATAGTATGCCCGGGGAGCTAAGCTCTTTCCACAGATGGCCAGTGGAAAAACGCGATTATCGCGCTCAGAAAATTCTATAGGACTAAAAGATAACAAATACAGACCGAGCGACAGGCCTGTACTCGAGCAGTTTCCAGCACAAAAAGGGTGCCAATTTTTGGAGAGGGAGATAGGAGTACATCACTTTCCCTCTCGGACTCGGGAGTGACTTGTCCCCCTGGCGAACGGGCGCAAGGTCTCTCGCAGCATTGGCGGAACGGCAAGAAACGCGGTTCGAGGCTTGTTTTGATGGCAAAGTACCAGGCGGGGTTCAGAAACTCTCAGTGCACCCCTATTCTGTGTTGAATATATAAACTATAGCTCCGCCAGCTTTGGGACGAAGAGAGTTGGGATCGGAATGTTCGGTAAACATACAGTGCTTGCAGTACGGCTGCGAAGTAGCTGATATATCAGTTTCAAGAATTCGTCAGGTGGTGTGTCCTGGCCTGGCCTCAGCACAACTGTAAGGATGGGGGGTGCGGTGGCATGGTGGGGTTTAGTGCTGTCATTAGGGATGGGGGAGTGATTGAATTCCCTCGCATATTACTGTATACATGTTCAATTATGCTGGAGCAGTTACAGTGCTCGGGCAGTGACCTTAGCTGTTGGTCATTCGAATGTGTCCATAAAATTGGAAAATATAATCCTTGTCTTCACAGAGATCTCTATGGGTCCGGTAGAAATAGTTTCCTAATTTTTCCTGACACCCAAGCCATCACCAGTCTTTGCCAAGAATACCTCCAGAGGTCGGATGTTTAGCGAGGACTCCCGCAAATACCGTCTTGCAAAAGCACCCTTGGCAAAAACTTGTGAGTATTATAACATATCCCGCGAATCCAAACATTGGGCCTCTGTAGGGATGTCCAAGAGAGTACCCAGGGTCTCAGTTGTATCACCGCGCTACCCAAAGCTCGCAGGGTAATTGTCATAATTGGATGCATGCATACACCCCTTGCCAAAATGCACACCCTCATCAGATTCCACATGAATAAGGATTGATCGCATCGATAAAGCTTCCTTAGAGGAAAATAACCTTGCTGCAAGTGCAGTTCTGCTAGGGGTACGGATACTACGTTGGCCTGAGCTCTTTAACTTGGCGTAAGGTACAAATATTATTCTTGAACAGCTTATTTGACCAACAAAGGTGTGAGTGACAGTTCATGAACCTAGGAACGGATGTTGCCGCAGGTAACTGTTGGGGGAAGCCCCGGGCTGTGGAGGCTGGAGATTGCCGCACCCAAGACCTAGGGCTAAGTTCAGATGAAAATGCACCACTAACACCGAACATAATATTATGATATCGGTAGCCAGTATGATATGTATACTACCTCAAATTGAGCATCCTCCGTACAAGGCCCCAATATCCACTTGAAGAAAAAAGATCCCTATATATAGCGCGGTATCGAGGAGAAAAGGAACACTCAGAAAAGATCGTGTTGGTTCTTGTGAGGCAGCCTCAGCTCTCGTTAATCCACTATTGGTTGGGTGCTTGGGGGGATCAAACCCCGCCAAGGCGCTACCCCTTTTGAAGAATTAATATGCTCGAGTAGGTACCCAAGGCGTGGGGGGGATCTGGACGGCAAGACTCCGCAGTTGGGTCGTATTTTAGACCCCACAGCCTGGACCCTGACGGCTCGAACCCACGTTCAGGACCAAAGCTAAACAACTACCGGTAGCATTCACTGATCATAATCGATAGGAAGCGAGACATCCACCTGCCCGCGTCCAATAAATATGATAGGATCTCACTCCAATACGATATCCCGCTCCCAGGGCCTAATTTATGTACCGTAAGTATCCGGATACAAAATAAATATGTTATCATAGGAAGCTGGGGGGGAAACCACCGCAAGGCAAGCCCACAGTTCTGGCAAAAACAAAAAGTAATATACTCACTCAGTGCTTTGTTCGGAGGCTTCAGCGTGCTAACACATTTATCTCTGATTCCGGATTATTCTTTTGCGGCGGTGGGGGGAGTCAAACCCGATAAGTACAAGTACTCGAGTATCCAATGCAATAGGTTTCACTAGAAATTCTTTTTCTTTCTAACTTTGGTGTCATAGCTGAGTGATTATTCGTGAGCCTTCCCAACGTCGCTAGCGTGTGCCAAGATGCGGGGCTTTGAAAACCAACGCTCCACTTTCGTACTTGCGCCACTGTGCGAAGTGTCGACGATCCAACCCCGCCCGAAACCACCTCATTGGCCGACTCAGGTCTTAGATTTGTCCCGCGATCGGCTGAGCAGTTGAGACGGAATACGAGTGCAGGGAGGTACTCGATTGTGGTACAGTACTTACTGTACTATTGTATAATAGTCACGGCACTCACACGCTGGAATTCTCTCTCATGGCAACGGATGCTAGACTAAATTACAGCTTGCTCAACTTTCTGATCGCGAGCTCCACGCTTTCCTCTCCTGTTGTGTTGGAGACAGGCGGAAACCACCAGGGGGTTACCGGCATTGGAGTAGTGCCGATTCGATCTACTCCGCTCGAGTATCAGTTGGCGTTCTCATTCCGAGTACGTAGAGAGGTCTAGCTAGCTAACCCTAGGGCCAGCGGGGACAGGACACGGCTGGTGGTAACTTTGGCTGCTCGCGGAGAAAGGTGGCGTGGACAAAATGGCGGTTTCTCGGCAGTATCTCGGAACCCAAGTACGGTACGGAGGCCTGCAACACTTACGGTAGTAGCCAAGTCTTCAGATCATCACGCACAATTTACTCTTCTTCAATTATCACAATGAGTTATGATGTGACTTACTATTAGAGGTACCAACATAAGATAACTATGGAGAAAAATGAGAGAAATGAAAAACATAAATATCAACGCTCCACCACCACAACGATCTTGCATGGGTATTATGAGTAGGAAAAGAAATCCGCTCCCACACTTAACAAAAGCCACCATACTATGCATATATATTAACGCCCTTGCCCGCTGGAGCCTGGGGGCTTGGCACGCGATCCGCAACTCCCTAAGTTCTGTACCAGTTTTCCGCTGGATCTCCAAGACAGTCGCCGAGGGTGACAACTGTATCTTTGTTAGCTTTGGCTATTCATATAATCCTGAAATTGGTGAACCTACGTCTCAGTCCCCGGTTCTGTGATTCCACAATCATGTGTTCCGCTAAGGTGCCGACTGTGTCGGGGTGCACATCATGTGCCAAAACGAGGCTACCGGAAGCCACATTCCGGCTAAATATGTCCTTCGAAGCCTGGATGTTTCCTTGATTTGCCCAGTCGAGAGTATCCAAGTTTGAGAAAATTACATGATATCCAAGTGAATCCATGACGCCTAAACAATTACTATTGCAATCAAAGTAAGGAGGACGCATGTATCTATGCAGGCGTTAGCGGGATCCACTATCATTGAGAGAATACTGGATGGTCTTACGTGGGATATCTCCCGATCGCAGTGGCGATTGCACTCTCGAGCGAGGTCATTTGTGTAGTCATGTCGGCGGTAGACAAAGAGCTCAAGGCAGGATGCGACCATCTAATAAATGGTTACCGGTACCTGTTTAGCTAGATTCAAGGGGGTGAAACTATTTCAGAAAAATTACATACGTGTGTGAACCAATTTGGTGTCCGTCACTGACCATTCTCCTAAGCAAGTCTTGCTTTGAAGGGTCGGTAATCGGTGCTCCCCAATTTTGGCCGCTTTGATTTATGTTCGTTAGCAAATCATCTGCCAATTCTTGTGCTAAGGTACAAATACTTACTTGACGAAGAATGTTGCTTTAGCCCCGTACCGCGCAAGAAGGTCCAATAGGTTCGAGGTATAGCTACATGGGAGTCAGCGGAATGCAAACCCAGCGATTGGAGAGTGGAGCATGACATACGTGTAGGGACCATCATCAAATGTCAGGGCAACAACACCTCCAGCAGTGCAACTCGATATTACAGTCCCTAAGGGAGGTTAGAGCCGTTACCCTTAAACCTTTTTCTCATAGCTCAAGAGAGGTTGTGACAAACCGTAAGGGACACTGCCAGGCTTCGTACGTCCCCCGGTGGTGGGAGGGTTGCCTCCACCTCCGGGAGGGTTGCCTCCTCCAGTACTACCACAGCTCTATCCAGGATATTAGTTAAGAGTAGAAAGAATCAGTGTATCATAGTTCGGGTTGGACATACCCCGTAACTCGGTTGACAGCCACTCCCTATATCGGGTAAGCGAACAAGACAAACATTAGGACCTCATGCAAGGGTCACATACCACAATACTCTGAGCCATCTCCACACCATCCCCACTGAGAACAACACGCTGAGGAGCCAGTTGTACATCTATAGCCTCTCCCATTGCCAGAGTTTTGGACACCACAAGTACCATCGGGGGTAGTAGATTGTCTAGAAAAAATATTATTTGGGGGAATTGCTGTAGAACCGACCAGTGCGCCGAAGTAAGTGCTAAGCCCTAGTAGGCCGATGGAAGAAATGGGAGAAATCATTGTAGCAAGTGCATGTAAAGGAGAGGAGTTAATGGAATGAAAGGGATGAAGCGAAGGATATAAGGAAAAGGGCAGAAGAGAGACTTGATAGAGGGAAGCCTGGCCTCGCTCTGGTGCGGGCCCTGAGCTCACCTTTAAAGGAACCACGCGAGCAGCACCGGCAATGGTGTGGCCACTATCATCAACCTCTCCAGTTTTACGAGGAAATCTGGGTGTAACCTGAAATCCAAATTTTGAGCTCAAATCTTCTTCCTTGGCAGACGGGACACTTCAATAGCTAACAAAGCCGCGCCCAAAGGCACAGCGGACGGGAAGATTTAGGCGATGAGTATGTCAGATGTACGGTATTGTACGGTTCGCGCAGGGAAGAAGCCAGATTAGCAGCACCCTCTACCAGTTGGGGCGGACATTAGATGACGAGGGGGGTCGGGCGTTTTGGAAAAATGACCGGAACTCCAAACAGAGAAAGAGTTATCAGAATGCTACCATACTCCAAGAGGAAACATTGGTGATGGAAATAATTGAACTCGGGACGGCATGTTATACATTAAGTCTAGTAATATATAAACACTTTAATAACACCATTGGTTAACCAGATATTTGGCGAGCTATCGGTTACAATCAGGCACATTACTAAACTACGACCGTAGCCAACCATTGCCGTGAAGGTTACCAAATGCTGCACCTTTTTTGGCAGAGAGTTTTTGACTCATGTCTCCCGACACGAGATTGACATCAGGAAGTAGATTGATGACTGGCAATCATACGCTGTGCTGCGCCTGTGCGACACTGTGTGGGTCCCCAAGTTGGGCAAAGCATGCCCTTTTGAGAGAGAGAGATACAGCCTTCCGAATCAGTTCTCCAACCCCGCATGTTAGCTGGGTACATCTTGAGCGTACCATTTCTGAGTCCCTTTCCCTAGAGACAATTGAGATGGGTGAAAGGAATCTTCCTTGTCCAAGTGATCCATATCGTCAACACCCCCCCCCTCGCCCCTAGCACCCTATCAGCCCTGGCACCGAAATGTCATCCTGAGGCATGATCAAAGTTGAGAAACCTGGAGACGAAATGGGTTAGAGTAAGTTATGGGACTCTAAGGCAGAGTTCATTGCAGAACATCAGCCATATCATGTTCGGTTGACATATTGTCTTGAATACTGGTGCATCAATCTAACCTATCGGGCCAAGGGAAAAGGCGGGATAATGCTGATGAGCATTTGCTTCCACACACTTACCCTCCCAATTCAGTAGATATTGAAATGCAACAACTTATTAATCCAGCTAAGCCCATACCAGGTATCGTGTCGTTGCGCTAATATTGGTCCATTGTGCTACTATAATTGTACGAATCAGTGGCTTTTCCCCTGCTTTCCCGGAACACCCGGAGATTGTATCATTTTTAATTGCTACCAGTGGGTACGGTCATGTTTTGCTGGTAGACCACAAGTACGTACTCCAGTGAACTATACCCCTTCCTCGACAAATACCCCACCGTGCTACTTTTACAATACCGGTACCGGTACTCAATAAATAGTCGGTCTTACCTGGGTTCGGCTCAAGGAATCCAGTCACCCAAGACAGGCTGGTGCACAGCCTTGAGTACTCGAGATACAGCACCAAAAACACGTTACAATTGAGTAGACGATACATGAGTACTAGTACAACACTATGTACGAGTACAGTACCGGCACAGTACTTCGTGCCCGAGCAAGGATTAACTACCCATCCAATCGACGGAAAAGTGCACACCTGCCGTGTGGAATCCCGGCACGAGTAGCGATCGGCTACCAGCGTGAGGTAATGTGAGCATGGCTGATTTCTATTACCAAAACGCTTCATGAGTTCGCCAAGTAAAGCTTTCCTAGAGGAGGTTGGTGCAGTACCGCTACTATGATAAATAACCATACTCGAGTACTCCGCGGGTAATACGGGTACATGACAAATATTATAGATCGGAAGATCTGAGCTCGGAAACCCGTTGGTGGGGACTTAGGTCCTGATTGTACTAGTACTTGTACTCGTATCACAGGTGGTACAAGGACAGTACTCGAGTACTTATGACGCGAGATAAGACCTGCTCGAGACACCAACGATACGCTTCCCATACCCCGTGAGACAGCCTAGCAACCTTATCGATAGTCAGCCGTACAAAAGAGACATGATGGCACGGCTGGCACAACTCTGGAGCGTTCCCTAGACCTGCGAAAAGTATTGCTTTTTTTTAGATGCTTTTGAATTGGTGGCGCTCTGTTTTATTCGCTTTGCTAGCGAAAAAAGTGGGGTCTTGCTGTCACACAAGTCCTCTACTTTGAGCATCAAACGTCACTCGACATCTATGTCTTCCGCCAGCTTCCGCCTCAAATACCCATCCCAAAGCTGATAGGCACGGTAGGATCCCGTAGTCAAGATTTTGATCATATTGGGAGAGCCTCCTCTCTGAATGCTAAGATAATATAATGTGATACTCTCACACCGCGTACTATTTTTAACCCAGCACCCTCCCATGCTTTGAAGTTACACGGATAGTGCGCAGGCCACTCACTCCTCTGAATGCGTCCTCCTACCTCAATACTCGAGTACCGGTGCTCTACATAAGAGGCAAAAGAAACTACGAGGGGTGTGAATTATATACCCTAGCTTCCCCTCAACATCAACAAACAAACAAATAAATAAGTCAACACTGAAATCACGTATCATATGGGTGATTGTTACCTGGCTTGTAGGTCACCCACCCTGTGAGTGGATTCGGGTCCGATGAGCCTGAGAATACCTAGAACACTGTGACATGGCAGGCCTTACGTGGACACCCCCGTACTTGTACCTAGGACTAGAACCAGGAATTGGGAGGTTTAAATAGGAGATAATACCGGGCTGCTCATCTTGGCGATGGCTATGGTCAGTTACTTCTGCATGACAAGCGGTCGTGGGGTGATGAAGATTACCATTGAATTACTCGATAGGTTAAAAACATCGGGGAACAACAAGCTCCGAAATTACTACCGTAAAAAACTCTTCAGGCCCGCTGTTAGACTATAAGAAGTCAGCCCTCTCAGCCACATGATAAATTCAGTTTGACAAGTTGGGAGAGAATTGCAAATTCAAGCTACGAGTAGAGATATCCAACACCTCCCGTTCATTGATCTTATACCGGTACCTGTACAGGTACTCGAGTATGATACCCGCAAAGTGCCCATTAGAAAGTTAGAGAACATTTAACCTAGGTTGTCCTAAAAATAACCTCCGTTTTGGGCAAGAGTGGGATCCCATTAACCGAAACAAACCGGGATACACATGTCCAGCTAACCTCAGAGAATTTTTCCAGAACTTCTTGCCAAGCCTTGTACAAAAACATCCCCCTCAGGGCCCCGGTACAAGTGCCAGGCAAGATGTTTTCGTGCAAGACGGGAAGTTAACCTGCAAATTATCCATGTTCTTGTACGAAACATTATTGCCTGGCACTGTGTACAGTACCAGTACTTGTGCCCCTTCAGGAAACACGGAGGATCCTTCTGAGGAATTTTTGTGTCTGAAAGCGGAGATTAGACACCAGCCGGAGGTAGTGAATTACAAGGGAACCTACAATAGCTGAACTCGATCAATGGAGTGGTTAATGAGACTCTCCCCCTCGTCTGCAGGTCGCGGTAAGTCGCTTGACTTGGAAAAATCTCTCCCGTGTGATGGCGAGGGGAACTGGGCTGGGACAAGGATCCAGGACTAACAACAGATCATCTCTTGAAAAGGGTTGTTTAACTAATGTCTGGCGGGCCAGCTTATTGACTTGCTGCCCTACCGGTACTGCAGCACCGCGAATGAATATACTCGAGTACTCGTACTCGTACAGGTACTTGTACTGTACTGGGGGTTGTAGGTGAGTCTGTGGAACCTCCTCGCATTATTGGCTCTAGCCTTATTGCCCACTCAGAGAACAGCACCTGCTCCAGGTATCATACTGCGCCAAGAGTTCGACAGACTTTTTTCCTTCACCAAATTACGAGGAAATCCACCAATTGTATATATTGTATGCTCAGGCAGTCTTTCATACCCATACAAACGCAGCCTATGAGAGGAAAATTCGACAGACCTTTTTTTCTTTCTAATAAACATTTTTCATTTCGGGCTTTCTAAGCAAATTTAAAGACTTTTGCGCACACCCTAAGTATGATACTCGAGTCTTCAGCAGGGGGGGGGGCAAGACGAGGACCGAGAGATGACGAGCAAGGGTATCATAACATGGCAGGCAAAAATGTGAATCCGTCAAGGTAGGGCAACGAAAAAAGGCCTGTTCGTTACCCGCCGCTTTCCGTGGTGCCCCAGCTCAGGGCTTTGCAAGTACCACTGCTACTTCAGTATCAAAATACCGGTTATTGCGCCTCGCCGAGACGCCAAGTAGACTAGGGTTGCATGTACCGCTTCTCTACTCGAGTAAACTCAGAACTCTCCTTCTCGCCATTTCTCAGAGATGTCAAGATTAACAATCCAACAATTGATAACTCCTCTCTACTCGTACTTGTACTCGCACAGTACTCGTACTATACATGGCTGGTACCGGTACTAATGAGTTATTGATATCAGCTCGAGTTTAACCGTGAATTGTGCCTCAATTAGGCCGGTCCTGGCAATTCCGCTCGTTTCCAGTATCCAGACCTGGCTTAGATAGATAGGGTAGCTCTTTCGGTGTGATACGGAAGACGCTGATATTGCTAGAGGGTGTGTCGATTGTAAAAACTCGGTCGGTCAGCGCCAGGGAACTCCCTGTTGGGCCTCATTTGCATGGCCCAATTGACTTTCCCACAGCTGCTTTATTCGTGCATGCACAAATCGCGGGAGAGATGTTTTGCAAGACAAGGATTACTTTTCAGACTAACCTAAATTAACTGTACACTGCCGGTAGAAACTTGAATAATTGAGCCGTGTGCTATGTCGTGGGACTCCCCTCCCTCAGGTCAAGAGGGAAAAAAGAAATATTTTTCTCTGTCCCGGCTGTTTTCTTGCTGTGTTTTTCGCCCCCTTTCCAGAGAAAGGGATTCTGGACTGCGTAGCACTCGGTTGAACATTCAAGTTCTCCCACTGTAACGCTTTCGTGGACACTTGTACCGGGTATCTAGGGTAAGTCTGTCAAATATCCTCTGGTTGGCTCCACGCCTTCTTGACCATTCAGAGAATGGTATTTGCCCCAGCCACTGTGCCAAGAGTTCGACAGACTTTTTTCCTTCACAAAATATCAAATAATATTCTCTACCCTTCACCAAAAATTAGCGTAGATTGGCCGTATTGATGCAGAAAAAAAACAAAAAAGCGGTTACACTCATAGTAATTTCGACGAATGAGCAAAAGTTCGACAGACTTATCCTCACACCCTAAGTACTTACTTGTATCATACTCGAGCACTGTAAGAGCCGGAATAATTGGACCCGGCCCGTGGTGCCCAGAATCCCCCTCTTTGGATGAAGGATGGGTATCATAGATGGGGTGGGGAAAAGCAGGTTTTCAGCCC